TCCTTCTCCTCAGGGCTGCTCTCAATAACCTCTCTCAAGTAATCCACGCATCCAGAATTTTATGCTGCTGCTTGTGTGCCCCGGTGCCTAGAAGAGCTAGCGTGACTCATGGGATATGGAAAAGAGCAAGGGAAGGTTAGCATCTCAAAATACAAACGTGAGGCTGAATCCCTCTACCAGCACATTGCTCTTTTATCTATGTTTCTCTCCTGAATTTACAGGGCTTTGGGAGAAGCTGCCCTCCCTGAATCCAGATACAAACACTGCTGATCAAACAGAAAATTCCCAAGTTTTTATGACTCAGAAGGTCTTCCAGAAACATTTTCAAGTGGAAAATTCGGTTCCTGCACAACTGAAAATTTCCATGATGAAATTTCAATTTTGAGGGGGGCAGGGAAGTTATCTTCTCTAACCATTTTCAAGAAACTGCATTCTAGGATTTAATGGATCCTCAGGGCCAAGACTGAAGATAGGAGTCTTGAGGTCCCTTGCTTATTAGTAACTTGGTTGGTGGGTTTATGGAGAATGAGATTTTCAAACTGCATATGAATCTGTCCATGTAGCCCAGGGTTTTGCAACTTCTCAAGTCTGCAGGTTGCGAGCTCCAGAACCCACACTGCCTTGTTTTGTTTCCAGAGAAGAGGTCAGATCCTCAAGAGCCAGTAAAACTTTTTAGCTTTTCCTTTCAAAATATTTTCTCTAAATAGTATTTTCAATGTAAATATTTAGTCTCAGATTTTGTCATGGAAGGGCAGCCCTGTTTCTGCCCACCTCTAGGTTTAAGTAAGTTAAAATAGTTCTGTAACTTTCAGATACAAGACCTGGAACACATTTTGGAGGATATTACTGAAAATGAGAACAAAGCACAGACTCTACACAACTGGCTGGAAGCTCAGAGTGATCGACTGAGATCTTTACAAATGCCAGCAAGTCTGATCTCTGCGCAGAACACATTAGATGATTGCAAGGTAAAGCACTATACGTGTGATATTATTGTAAAAAACATACTAGCACTTCGCTGAATGTGCCACACTAAAGAACTGCACAGATATTAACAGAAAAAATGTAAAGGAAGTTGCCATTTCCTAGGAGAATACTACAATGTAGTTTTAATTAAAGCATGTTAGGTTCAGGTGATAAAGAGCCAGATCCACTTTTAATGTGAATTGCTATTTTATGTGTTTTTTCCTCCAATTGAAGATGCATCTGCTGCTGTTCCATGGTATTTGGAGTGTTGTGCAGCAATATTGTAGATCTTATTCTGAGATGCCTCCAAAAGAAGTTCTTAGTTCAGCACAGCCATGGCAAAAGCTATCAATTCCATTAGTTTGAAGAGCTCTGTGGTGGAAGTGTCATGGAAACTACACAGTCCCATTTGGAAAAATAGCACTGCCTGCCCTAGAATGTAGTCTGTCTGCACCAGCCTCAGGAATCTAAGTGTGCTTTGGTTTTGTTGTGTTTTTCTAGGCATCAGCTCCCTCAAAATTAGTCCAGGTACAGCCAGCTAATAATTGGTTTCTATTACTCTGACATTCTGCTGTTTTCATTCAGTACAGTGTTCCCTCTCTATTTTTTAACATGGAATATTTGTTCTTTCATTGCCATGGTTACGTGTCTCTCTCTTGTAGTAGGCTGCTTTTATTGCCTAGAGTGCTTTGTTACACACCCAGTTACTTGTCTGAGTGAAGTACTCTGAAACATATCAAGGGGCCAGAATGGAAGAAAGACACAGGATATCTTTGACTAAAACCCTAACCGGCTCACAGTGCTAAGATGCAGGTGGCTAAAATGTTTCATTAAATTTAATTTGCTCAATAAAAATGAGGTCCAAATTTGAAAATGTTTTGGGGGCCAGTAAGCGGGAAGGAATAAAGGTCATGGCTTTAAGCGTAGTATTTATAGGAAGATATTATGGCCCATTGTGTCTATGGATATTTGCTCATGTGTGGAGAACTTATTGCTGAGCTTTCCCCAGCATGTCAAGACGAGCTTATAATCTTGCTGATTGTGTTAGTGGGGATCTTATTCTCCCAGGCATTTCCATTGATTTCAGTGGGGTTTCTCCCATGGGAGAAAGCCTCTGATAAGAGGAAAAGCTGAAAATAACTTTGTAGAAGTTGTTAGGATGTCAGGGATTCTTACATTGCAAAATCTGTTCCTATCTTACTTTTGTCTGCTGGAGCAGAGGAGGACCTGAATGCTAACCTGCCCAAGGAAAAGTTTAGCCACATTAATAGGAAAACTTTTTGCATCTGGAGAGGTACAAAGAGGCCTGCGTGATGGCTGAGGAATTAGCTCCTGATTTCCTTCCCAAGCATGATGTTCAGTGCTCATGCCGACACTAAATGGACTGATTCTAGCTCTACCTGCAGGAGACTGTCTAAAGCAGCCACTGTCACTTTGAATTCCTGTAAAGCAGTTGTTCTGTATCAGAGTTGAAATGGTGGTGGTGGTGCACGGCTGAAGAATTACACAGAATTGTTTTTAAAGAAAGAATGTTTATCTAAGCTCCTCACACAGAAAGTTTTTTTCTATGGTCTTGTTGAAATATCTTATTTATCTTCCTTTTTTTTTTTTCTTTTAGGAGCTAGAAAATCAACTCACAACTAAATTCAAAACTCTTGATGAGCTCAAACAGAGTTTGGCTTTGAACAGTAGTGCAGAACAAACCCCAGAAGCTCTGTCTCTCAGGATAGCTGAGCTGTGTGAAATGATGGACAACATTGTAAGCCAGGTAAAAGCTTTGTTTGCATTCAGATTTCCTTCACTACATGTTCTTACCACTAGTGTTATTAATCTTCTTCATGGGATGGCAGGAGCTGGTACAAAAAAGATGCAAAGTGTTCCTTAATCTTAACCTTCCTAAGAACTTACTTTTAAGTCTTTACCATAAAGTTGAGAGAGGAGAAAAAAGTCTGATCTCAAAGTAGCTTGAATACAGGGAGAGGAGGGACAGAACCCCATCTGCACTTTAAGAAAATAAAGAAATAGCACTGCTATTTTTCTGTCAAGTTGAAAACGGAAACCTTAAACTCTCTTACTCAATCTTCTTCTCTCTCATACCCTGGTGTTTCTCCCCTGTAGTACACTGGCAGAAGCTGCCTACTCCTGCCCTGTTCTCACTGCAGCTTTTCCATCTCCCAGTTACTCTTGTGTACACACTTGGATGGCTTTTGCTACCTTCAAATCCTATGTAGTTTCCAGTTGCGTCAAGGAGAGTCTGGCAGATTGGTTTCCCATGCAAATTGACTCCCCAGCAGTTTGTATTTATAGTTATATTATCTTTATACTTGGAACTGATCTGTTTTATCTAGGTGTAATTGATAGGTGCAGAAGATATAATAATGAGTAAATCTATAGATTTGAATTTGTGATAATAAGTAATTGTATACTGTAGAGGATTATACATGATGCAGTGACTGTTTTTATAGTTAAGATTCCCTTACACTTTCTATTATCAATGCTTTGTTTTTGTTCCTCAAAACTTTGTGAAACCTGAACCCTTTTGATTGAACTCTTCCACATGAGGTGTCGGTCCAGGGTGGGTCTGCTGCTTCTTGTTTTAGGTTTCAACACAAACTATGTGGCTGTTTCTTACCAAGAAAGCAGAGAAATTTTTGTGTGTGTACATGATGAAAGTTTTTCCTTCCGCTGTAGAGCTGGGGATAGAAATTGGTAGGATTGACAGCCTAGTGCATTTTTCTTCTTACAGTCACCATGGGTCACATTAATTTTAGTATTTTTATGACTTAAGTATCGAACTTACAAACTGCAGAGTGTTCTTACAGCCTAGTTGTCTGCATGTGCAATGAAACACTGAGTGCAACTTTCTTCCCATGGGTGACTGCTCTCAACAGAGTCAGGCTGTGATTTCAAATATAAGTCTAAGGAGATGTGATACCTTGATTGTATTGTCCATAGGTTGATCTCAAGACTGTGAGTCTGTGGCCTAGAGACATTTCACGAGCACAATGTCTTTCCATCTTCTTTCTGTGGGCAGTAATTAGCTGCAGGCTACAAAAAGGAATTAAGAGATTCCTCCCACCTATACCATGATTCGAATGAGAATAGGGATGATTAATCCATCAACTCATGTGTGCCTGGAACTAGGATACTAGGATACAATGATCTATGCAGTCTATTTATGGTGAACAATGATGTAGAAAAGTTTTCATCTTCCATTGTATGGATGCATAGTCAGAACTGAAATCTGGCATCTGGCTTTGCCAGGTCCCATGGGGACATGCTTGTTTGTTTGCCTGGTTTTCATGCTCTTCTCAAAGCGTCTGGTACTGGCATGTCTGAAAATAGATACTGAACTAGATGAATGTTCTGTCTAACCTAGGACATGCCTTATGTACTTACCCGATACAGAAGAATAAAAATGACAAATCACACTGGAGGAGGACTGTGGTTTTGTGTTTGCAATGTCTAGGAGTATGTGGCAAATGGGAACCATGCTTGCTCCCATATAGATTAAATGACTGTAATAATGAGAGAGACATAGAAAACAAAGAGGATATCTATCGTTTAATTTTATATGAGAATCCTGAAGTTCCTAGACTGCTATTCAGGTGGGCCTGCACTATTACAGCACGGTTAAGAGGGATGATTAACGGCTTAAGAGGGATGATAGCTCTCCAGAGTACTGTAGTAGCATCTTCTTCCATACAAAACAATTTCTGTTCTTTTCTTTAAAAGGAAACTTGATCTCTGGATCAAACTATCTACTTCCTAAGAAGATTAAGGCTCTCAACTTCCTCCCACTTCAGGTTGATTTTGGTAGGAAGGAATACGCAATTCATTATTTCAGTACTTTTAACGTTTTGGGGTGTTCTGGAGTTGTGGCTGATAGAATAGTGCTACCTTGAACTCCGGATAATTATTTTTTTTCCAGCAAATTCTTATACTTCACTCTAAATACTATTTACTGCTTAGCTTGAAGCCTGCACAATTCCTTACCAGGTAGGAAAATACTCCAACTTGTGAAATTCTTGTGGATTGTCCTGGAGTGAGCATTAAACTTAGATTTTTAGGTCAATTTAAAGGTGATTTATATGTCAGGACTTCCCAAGAAATAGTAACAAAAGTGGTTCATTTGCAGATTGCACAGTTAAAGACCTCAATGCAGTCAATACTGGAGCAGTGGAGAATGTATGATGAAGTTTATGCAGAAGTCAGCCTGATGACAACAAGATATTTGTACTGCATGGACCAGTGCAAACATTCTGTGGTGTCATTGGAAGCTTTGAAAAACCAAGTCAAAACTCTGCAGGTAAATCTAAAGAAGTTGTCTTATTTCTGTACTTCCTTCTATGACTTTAAACAAACAAACAAACTCCACTGAAAAAAAGACAGAAAAATTTATCTGAGCAACTTCCTCTTTATTATAGTGCCATGGAAGTCAGTGGATTTTATTTTTTTTACCTCCAGGGGCACTAAGGACTATTTTTAGACTTCTTACTTTATTGAGCATGTAAGTTCACCTTTGGTGCAATTTAGGCACCAAGGTTCAAGAGAGAAGTATGTGTTGGCTGATGCCATGTCTGCCTTACTGTGGGCTAGCAGAGCCTCCATTTTGGATAGCAAAAATCCCTGGATGTTTAGCACATAATAGAAGGCATCCCCATATGAAGCACCAGGTCCTCATGCTCCCTTGCACTACAGAGTCCAGATGGACATATGCAGTCCACCACCATCCCTCATGCTAATGTCTACTCAGTCCATGTCTAATCCACATGGACAGCAGGAACTTTGGCTGAAAATACAGCTGGCATAGGAAAACCTAATGCCATCGCTGTATGTGTTTGCTTAAAGGTTACTCGCCATTCAGGTGAAAGACGTTGGTTCTCAGCTCATTGGTCAAAAGGAAATTTTGGCCCTTCACTTGTGTTTCCCAGAGAAATGCCCTGCCATAAGGCTGTAGCATAACCTGGAAGGAGATGCCTGTGCATCGATGCTGGGACTCAGTGCAGAAGTGAAGGAGACCTGGGAGAAAATTGGTGAGGGGACGATGTTTCTAGATCTGTGATTTGAACGCTCCTGTTGGGGTACTATGTCCCAGCCACTGTGCCAGTGACCACTGACACATGTTGGATTAAAGCATTATTTTCATTAAGGCATCTTTCCACGTATAAACAGCACTGGAGTCAAGGTCCAGGACCCAGGATTCCCCTTCTCAAAAGCCGTGGCATGGGCTGGGGTGCAGCAGCCCTGGGGCAGAGCAGAGGGATCCCCAAGCCTGGCGTTTCTGATTGCTCCAGTGCAAAGTCAACTGTTCAGTTGCCCTCCAGAGAGCTGGAGTTTCCTGTGTAGCCTCTGACTGAGGCTGCTCTGGATCATCCTGCTGCTCTGCTTGGCTATTAGAGAGTCTAAGTCGGGCATCTAGAGTAGGCAGTCAGGCTGGCCCAGGGTCTGAATGTTTTACAGGTATGGCTAAAATCCCCTTACCTGGCTTTAAACGAGTGCTGAAAGGCTGTGCAAACACTCCCTGAAGAAGGCCTGTTTTGGTTTATTTCCAAGTTATATCAGAAGTGGTGCAGCCAGACTGAGGCTGTGAAGCCCGTGTATGTGTCTCTCGGCAGTAAAGCATGCATAAGCACTTTCCACCCTCACCTGGGGACACGTAATAAACGGAAGGAACTGGGCCCCATCTTACCTCCTTCCTTCCATCACCCTCTTTACTTTTAATCTGGATCAGTTCACGAATACAATCCATGGCAGGGTTCTGTGATTGCCTATGTCAGGAGCAGAAACACGCAGCTAGGGACAGGAGTTGTCAAGCCAGCTTTGCTGGCAGTAGAAATTTCCCTGAAGCAGTAGCTTAAAATAAAAACATTTTTGGTTTCTAGTGAATTAATTTAATCAGCTCAAGGCTGTGGGTTTGTTAAATGAGCTAGTTCTTTAAGAGCAAATAATAGGCCTTCTGAATGATTTTTTAACTTGGACCATTTCACCTCTCTTTTAGCTTCCTAATTTGTAGGATCAGGTGTTACATTTTTCACAAACATTTTAATCTGTGCTGCAAACGTGGCGTTATTGCTGCTCTATCCCTACCAATCTTTAGGGAAAGCTATACTTAGGTCATTCATCTCCATAACTGATTACAATAATCCATTTTGCAGTCTCTTCAAGATGAATCAGAGAACAGTGAAGAAAGTTGGGCCAAGCTCCAGGCTGCTGCCAGTAACCTGAAGAAGAACTGCTCTCCCTTCTTTGCAGAAATTATTGAACAGAAGTGCACAGAGGCACACGCTAGGTAAGCTCGCAAAAAAGACCCTCAGTTATTAGTATTAAAAAAAAAATGTTACTGAGGCAGGACTTGAACATCTGTCAGATTTTTAAATCCATATTAATACAACTCACCTAAGGGTACCTCTGTGAGGAGTAGCTGATACTAACTTTTTTGTGATGGATCATGGAACACAAAATGGTGCTGTCAGTGGGCTTTCAGTAAAATGGGTATGAATACAAAGAAAATCCCACAGGAATCCTACACCAAATCGTATTCTGGAGGAGAATCTACTAGGAAAATGCTCTTACCCTTTGATATGTTGGCAGGTGGAACTCGGTCAATGAAGACATCACCGATCAATTGCAGGCAGCGCAAGCAACCCTGCAGCTTTGGGAGCCCTTTGATACTTCATGCACTGAGACAGCAGCCAAGTTAGAACAGCACAAAGAGCAGTGTGCTCAGCTCTTGGATGCTCACATACCTGAGGATAACATGACAGAAACCCTAAAGCAGAGGATACAGGATATAAAGGTACATGAATATGTTTCTACTGCCTGGTACAAACCAGGATTTATTTTTGAGAAACAAATCAAAAGAATGCCTTCTTCCCCACTTCTCCCCCAAATCCAGTCAGTGGAAAACATAAAATCTGTGGGTTTTTTCCATTAACAGGCACCTTTGTATTTCCTTTAAATACTTTGACCAGATCCTGAGACCAAACCAAGCTGGAGTTAGTGTAGGATAAGAAGAGAGCAGAAAGAAGCAATCGTGTTCCATCTCTGCCCCTTTCTGCTCTATACAAAGAATCAGGCCTGTGTTGGAAGAAATCATTAAACCAAAAATTATTTACTTTATGGGACACTGCTTGGGAGGAGAAAATATCTACTTGAACAACAGCTAGGGAAAAAAAAGATCAGTTCTCCAGAACACAAGACTATCTTGATGTCTTCGACAGTCTTCAAATTGGTTTTATTTGGGTTTGGTACTTTTTTTGGCCTGGTATGGTAAGTTCACAGATTTCTGAGCTCATTAGATTATTCTAAATGCTTCTTACTTTAGGCAAATGAGATCTCATGCTGAGACCACAGGGTACATTAGACTCTCAGGCAGCAAAGCTGTCATTAGGTTCTGACATTTTTGGTTTCTTCAGACTGCAATAAAGAAGTATAATAATCCTTATTTCAGGACAAAGCAATGATTCATCATGCTTTATGAACCTCTAGCCACGTATTGGAAGAAGTCCAAAGTACTCCATTTTGCATGTGGCCAATTAAGAAACTTTCTATTATGGGAAAGAGAACTCATATATTTCTTCCTGTGTCAGAAACAACTGAGAGCAGCAAAGCTTAGACCAAAACATTTTCACTTTCTTCTGATCTATTAATGGCTGTGACATAAATTCATTAACATGTCAGCAAAAAGGAATCACATTTTCTGGAAATTTTGGGGAAGAGTTTTACACCTACTAAGCAAGGCATGACCACTAGAGTGCCATTAGCACTGGAGATTCTGTCCTGGTACGTGTGGGTAGGACACATGGAATTTATTGTGGTTTTTTGAAAGTGGTGAGTTACAAGAATGGGGATCAGTGATATGGCATGAGAGTTACATTTATTTGAAAATACATGTGCATAACAAAACTGTATTTTAATCTCTCTAATCTTTTCGTCTAGTATATATTAGGAAAGATTATGGTTTTATGGAACTCTGTTGCCACAATAAATAAAAACAAAGTCCTATATAGAGAGTAAGAAATCAAAATGGATTATTTACTAAATGGCTGAAGTGGCAGTTTACAATATGATTCATTCCAAAGACAAGGGTCAGGAACTAAGAGCCATTTTGCTTTTTAGGGAAACATGTCTGCACTTTGCTATCAATCAGAAGTCTTTATTCATTACTCACAGAAAAGACAATATACAGTGGCAAATTCCAGGGGGGTTCACAGCTAAAAGTAACTGACAGTTGTCCAAGTCAAAAAAAAAAAAATCAAGTACGTTGAACAAGTATAAAATTACTCCCTTTGTTCGTGTACTGCCTTTCGAGTTTAATTTTATAGCATCATTTCTGTAGTAAAGGGGAACAAGTAAAACCAAAACCATAGTCCTCAGTCACTAAGGGATCCAAAGTATGGTATGTTTGGAACATAACAGCATTTCTCCTCTGCAGCATGGGCCAGTTTCTTCACCTGCTAGTGTAAATCCATTCTGTGAAGAGAGATATTCTGATTTCTCTCCTTAATTTCCTCTGTAGCAGTAGTATCCCACTGCCTGAAGTCACTGGTGCTCCACTGAACTTTGAACTGTGCCTTTCCCAGCACTAGAGTCAATGGATGCAATTCCCATTATCCTCCAAGTGAAAGACTGAAGCTTTCACCATAGCTGAATTTGGTTCCCGGAGGAGATCAACAAAAAGGGCTTAGTTACAGCAACAAAAGATACTAAATGAAAGTGGCACATGAATGATCTGATTCATTTGCTGACTTTTTTTTCTTTCCCCTTCTCACATCAGAATTTACAGCATGGCCTTCAAAACATCACAGGATGCTGTACCCAGATTTCTTTGCTGGCTGATAAGATAAAACAGCAGGCTGGGACAGCTGCACAAACCATTCTATTGGAGAAGCTGCAGCCACTCCAGAGTGCATCCTATTTGGAAAAGATGGTGCAGAGGAAGTTAGAGGAATTTGAGGTATTTTTTTGAATATTAAATTAGCTGTCAGTGTGAGGTAACTTCTTCACTACAGTCCTATAGTTCTTTAATTGAAATGAAATTTCAATAAAATAAAACTTGACAGTATGATCAGCTATGTAAAGAAATAATACATGAAGCCAGAAGGACAGATGAATGAATGGTTTCACCCTTCTTACCTGCTTGTGTTGCTCTAACAACCCTTTGTAAGTGGACCTGTTACCGTTAAGCAGTACAGGATCCTCAGATGACTGAAGGTTAGGAAATGTATTTTTCTTCTATGAACTTTGAAGTAAGTTGTAAACTTTCTTACCTCTGCCTTGGGAAAAACCTAAGGGCTTCAGATTGCTTTGATAAGAGTGCACACAATGTACCTAAAACCAAACAGAAAACTGTGGTCATTTGATGTAATTTTGAAGACCAGATTCACATCCCTGTTCAGGTAGAGTAGGGAGGGACCTGGATCCAGGTTTCCCCATATGATGCTCTGCTCACAGGAGTGATGTAGCATTGACTTCCCCTCTGCACAGGTATTCCTGACAAAACTTCCATGCAAATGTACTGCTGTACATTTACTGATGTAAAATTAGTCTGTTCCTGTGAAAAAGTCTGGTCTCGATGAATTGTTCTGTTTTAAAGTACACCAAATTCATCAAGAAATTTTCAGCCAGCTCTATTTATGACTCCATCTACCAGCACAGTTCAATGGCTGGAAGCCAGATATCTTTGTGAAGGTAACAGGTTTCTCATATTCCCTGTGAACTTCTCGCTCCACGAAATACTTCATTTCTGGGTAGTCATTTTCTCTGGTGTAACCCTATAGTATTACCACAGAACTGTATCTCTCCCCACACCAATTTTTTGCCATTCATTCCTTATAAAAATATTGCTGTTTCATTGTTCTTAGAGATGCAGAGCTTAATTCTTGCAAGAAAGAAAAAGCTTTCCCAGTGCTCTTCTCCCCGACACCCAAAAAACAACCTAGTGAATAAAAAAGTTGAATTCCAGCCCTAGTTATTTCACTCCACAGAGCTCATGTAAGCTGCATAGCCTTGGCTGTAGGCACATGGGAGCAGGCCCTGTGTGTAGCTCAAAGGAAGCTCATTTGCACAAGTTTCTTCCCTCTGATAAGCTAAGTTTTGGCTTTCCAATTTCACAATAAATCGAACAGCCCAAAGCTACAAAAAAGGTATCTCAGGTGCCTTTATTCCTTCCAGATAGATATGAATCTCTAAGGATATAGAGATTCAATTTCTTGCTCTCTGCTTTGGCTTAAATTTTCCCCTTATCCAGTGCAAAAATGGAAAAAGTTCGGTAACTGAGTTATAAATATATTGGAATTTGGATTTAACATCTGTTTGTTTTCCTGATGATACTGCTTATTGCTCCTTTTTATATACTGAATATGTCTATTAAATCATAATTAACATAAATATGCATTATTCACCCTAGTTCAATCTTTCGCAACTGGAGCATTTCAAGAATTGCCTTGAAACACTGGAGGGTCATGTCGAGAATTGCACAGTCACCTTTGATAGTCTCTGTCTAGAGGGAGAAACAGACAACTCGGAATTGCTCATGGTATGTTTAGATTCCCAAATACAAAAAGATACTACTCAGGAATTAAGTGTCAGTAGGATACCAGCTCTTGCCTACTTCAAGAAACTCTGTGTCCTAAGTATCATAGTTATGGCACTTCCCTGAGAGTAACTATAATCTCATCTAAAACACAAAAAGCAATGATTTAAGTTCATAAAAACCTCTAGATGTGCATTGCAGGCCAAATGCCTGCATGGAGGGGAGGAAAATCACATAGATTTGGGGTTGATGGCAGATCTTTTTCCTCAGCTTTGCTCTGGAGCTACCCTGTTGCCCTCAATTTAGGGTACAAAGTAAATCTGCAAGTACCAGCTCTTGAGTACGTGTTCAGAACTGTTGGAAAAGTGGCCTCCGTGTAAGGGAATTGTGACTTTTTTGTTTCCTATATTCTTTGAAGTTAACACAGAAATGTTCGGTGTTTTGGGGGTTAACATTTTGGGTGCTTGACATTCAGATGCTTCCTACAGAAGAGAATAGGCTTCTATACATCTTTGAAATGAAAGACAGGCAGTAATTTTTTCAATTAATTTGTGTTTTTTACTTCCAGAATTGCACACTGGAGCTTGCTGTACTTTCTCCAAGCATAGAGAGTTTGAATGAAGCAAGCATTAAACTGCCACTCAGTGACTTCACCCTGAAGAAAATGCAGAGCCTGACTCGGCAGTGGAGTCAGAAAATAGCAGCTGCTCTGGAATGCTGCAGGTCCGAAATGCAAACTAAAAATCACTACTAATCTTTCCTTTTCTGTGAGGAAAATCAAAACCAAATTAAAGCATGGGAAGTCATGCAATCTCTTCTCATCTGTTTCAGGGGCTTTCCCAGTTGAATTTCTGCCCTTTTAATTTACTTGATTATTCAGTGGCTATTTGTATTCCAAGTCACTTTAAACAAAAATCTGGCTGTTCATAGGTCAAGAAGGTAGCAAAGTGCCAAGCAAAACTCTACTATGTTAGTATTGCTAAGGACCACCTTAGACTGTATACAAACATATCCAGAAAAACAACCACCAACACAATAGTTTCTGATTATTTTTTTTTGTTTTACAGCATGCTTGAGGGAACTCAAAAGTTCTCTTTTCATGATGAAAAGAAATTCCTTCAGAAATGTGAGAACTGTATGAAATTCCTAGAAAAAATGAAAGAGGCCTTAAAAACAAATATTCCAGGACGGTTTGAAGAACTGCAAGAGCAACAGAGAGTATATGAGGTAAAGCTAACTCTAAAAATGGAAGTATCTTCTTGAATGGTGAAGGTGGGGGAAAATCACTAGACAATGCTATGTCTTTTGAAATTAGATCTGGACAGAGTTTTACAGAGCATTTCACTCTTGAACTGTGGCCTTGTTTTATTCAGAGGAAAATTTTGAAATGTGAAAATCCTTTTCCAAAATGGATGGATCCCTTTTTGCAGGGATCCGACCTTTAGGAGTGCATCCTCAAGTGCTGCATCATAGAAGTCCTAGATTTCTCCAACCCTGAGATTACTTGCTGGTCTACCTCTTCCAAAGCACTCAAGCTTGTGGCAACTAGCTAGGCAGTTTGCTGTTGATCTGGCAAGAACTTTACAAGTTTATGGGAGAACTGCATTTAAAACAAAATGTTTCCACAGCATATTTCCTTTTTGACCAGTTGTTAGATTTTGGTGGAAAGCTATTTTGCTGGCATTTTTCCAAACACTTGCTATTTCTTCCAGAGAGATAGTGCTTCACACGTGTATGACAATATCCGTTCAGAGGAGAAGGTACATTGCATGCTAGCAGTAGCGTGTGGATGCAATTCTAAGCAAAGTCTCTATCTATAGACTTTGTCCTCGTGGCGGAAAGATAGAAAAACAACCAAAATACAGAAAAAAAAATAATCTTGTGGTAAATGCTAAACATCATGAACTGTTAGGGTGAGATTTGTGCTGCCACAGTGGACCACAGCTTCACACTACCCAAAGTACTGTGGCAAATTCCACAGGGTGTTAAGTCTGCATGTTAGTGATATTCATTAGGGTGCACAGAAAGTTATTTTCTCTCTTTTACTTAGACCTCTCCAAATCAGTTCATTCATTGCAATGAAATTATTTATAGAATAAACTTTTCTATACCTTTTCTATGGATTTCTATGTAGATTGCATTTCTCATGGATGAGTCCAGCAAACTTGAGGCTTCAGATTATCTGTAACATAACAACTCCTGGTGGGTTCTGATATCACATATGTGCAAATTCCTCCTGGTATCCAAAAAGCGTGGAATCTTTTAGGATGCATTTGACACTAGCACTTGAAAATAATAGAGCTTTCAGCATTTATAATTAAATAAATGCTGTCACTCTAGAGGAGCAGAACCAGATTTCATACCAAAGGTTGTTCAGTGAATAGTTAAAACTGTTGCTCTCATGGTATTTTCAGATGCTGCAAACTGAGATTTCCATAAATCAGCAGATATTTAATTCTATTATTGCAAAAGTCCTACTCTCCTTGGAATCTGGAGAAGCAGAGAAAAGGTAATCTATTTATTTTTCTCCCAAAGATCTTGGTAGTTCAATGAAAATGCTCTCTTCCTTGGAGTTGGTGTTGAATCTTTGGTCTCTTGAGGACATAAACCCAAAATCTTGACTGGGTTGACTCTTTAAATAACCTCCTGGCACATTTTGCAGAAGTGTGTGGAGGTGTAATGAGAAAGAAACACATGTGCCCTGGCCAGACTGTATTTTGGATAGTAACTGCCTAACAAAAATAATTCTGCTTAACAAAAATAATTGTTTCTGAATAGGAGGCTTCCTTGTCTACTGATACCCTGCAGTTGTTGAAACTGTAACTGGTTGAGAAGCTACCTTCTGACAGAGGGTAATGAGGATGCTACATATGAAGAGTCCTTTCTTCCTAGACCTCTCTGTTTTTTAAAGTGCAGAGGTGTAAGACTATCCACATTGCCTCTGGCACACATGACAGGGCACCGAGTCATCGGCCACACAACCCAAAACATATGGTAGCTAAACCTGGGTTTTATAAGTATGATCTTACACTTTTAATCAACGTAGAGTGAGAAGCAGCAAGTAATATTTGTGAGCAGAGGTTCAAATGCCCCAGGCATTTCTGCTGCGAACAGATTATCCCTCTGCCAGAGCTTGCCCCTTCCAGAGCGTTGGCAGGACACTGCATGTGCTCCCCTCAGCCACTTCAGTATGAAGTCCATAGCTTGGCTTAAAGCTACCAGGGAAGGTAGGGCTAAACTAAGCAAAGCTGCTGGATTTTTGTGTTGAAGCTAGTGCCACAAACACTAGTGTTTGTATAAGAGCTAATCTGGGGCCATGGCCTCCTGGAGAGGAGCAGAATTGATAGATGGGGGTTGTCTTAATCACTCCAGCTAGATCTGCTGGATCATCTAACCATGTTGTAGGAGAGGCGAAAAAACTGCTTGAGTGGGTTCAATAACACCACAGAGCCTTTTAACTTTGCAGTTAGGTCACATTGCTGTACGATACAATTGATGGTGGAACTCCTGCTTACAGCCTGGTAAACGCACAGATCAATTTTGCATAATCCGAGACCTTGTCTCACTTGCATTGACCTTCTTGTTCTTCAAATAAGTGTTTAATGCATATTGTTTCTGTGATTGCTGTACTATATATGTTGCTATACCACAACAGCAAGAATGACTTGCATCGTCCATTCTTGTATCGTGTAAAAGGTTTTTTGGATTGCTTAAAAGAAAGAATACAGAGAACAGGGCTGAGCTTAGGACTGCACAGAGCTTTTTGCATGGTTGGGTATTGGAATTGGAATACAATGTTGCAAATGGAAATCCATCACAAATATTCTAAAATGCCTCAAAATTTATTAACACTCAACATTTCTCATTTTTAGAACAGAGTTTATTTCCAAGCTCACGTTGCTGAAAGAGCATTGGCAGATTGTTATCCGGATTTGGAAAAAAGATATCGATGGACTCGTGAGCCAGTGGCAGCTCTTCAGGAGTTCCCTGCAGAGCCTCAGCAGATTTCTTGCTAATACAAACAGCATCCTCATAGCTATGAAGAGCCAGGACTGCTATAGCCTTTACCAGCTTAGAGATCTAATTCATGATTTCAAGGTAAGGTGTTTATTTCTCATAAATCTAAAAATCGGTGGTTTTTTCTCAGACTGAAACAACTTCTGTCCAGTAAGGTAAAAAGCTTTAAAATCACATGCTTTTGGGGAAAAACAATTGCTAACACTTTTTCTTAAAGCTGAGCACAGATGAGAAAACAGTGACATTGTGACTCATTATACTCAGAAACTTCCTGGTCAGCCTTGTCATTTAGTAGCCTTGCATGCTTTAAAAATATTACTGATATGAATATGGAAAGGCAGGGTGCCAGGGAGATTAGGCAGAAACCCTGGTCAGCAGGTACCTTCTAGGTCTGTGTGCATCTTATTGACATGGCTGCTGAATGCAGGCCAGGTGCCAGCAGCAGAGGTTAAAGCACTTGCAAGGGGGTCTGCCCATGGAGCCACCACTCCAGGATGCACAGACCTGGGCATCACTTCTTCAGGACAGTGAGTTATGCATTTTACGTGCAGTGGAAAAAAATATTTTCCATTGTTAATTTTGGGTATCTTGGTTTTCCATTTAATTTCGTTGCCCTCCTCTGGACCTTCTCCA